TTGTGACCCAACATAAACTGGGGTGTGCCCCCTTATATGCGTTTGTGTCGGCATACGCCGTCGCCCACGCGGCCTACTTTCAATGTTATTACTGATCCAATTGATCATTATGACATATTGATGGGCACTAAGCAAGTACGTATTCTTAAGTTGCTTTACCACACCTGTTATCTTTCATCATTTTAGTGTAGGTCATAATTTTGTTTACGTAAAGTTTCAGCAACTTGACATGTTCCACCGTAAGTTTCCGGGGTGTCTATCCTGACACATATTTACAAATGGAAGCCAATGCCATTTGTTTCTCTGGGAACGGCTTCAATTTATTCATTCTTTTTCTCTCTTTGTCCCCGCAGGTGAGCTACGCCATACCCATGCCCACTCCCGGGCTACAAAAGGAATTCACTGGTGAGATGGACAAACATCTGTTATCTTTTATCATGTAAGAGGGCGTCGGAATTTTGTTTACGTAAAGTTTTAACCACCTTACATGTTCCTCCAGGATTTCCAACCCTTACCTACAAGTAATATCCTCTCCCCTCTGATAAGACTTACCTGTCCAGATTGATTATTATATCAACAACGTGCCAGTATTTTCCCACCCTACATCAGGCCCTGAGTCCTGCAGTCTTTTCTCAGGTCAAATTCTTTACAACAGTACATGAGGCTGGGTAGAAACTCCAATCTGGAAGAAGTCTATTGCTATGATATAATAACATATCCTAAATGTTAAACATTCAATGAAATTGCTGGTAGCTGCCGGTATAATTTAAATAATTTGTGATTGTCGTAAAACCTAAATAGCATGTATTTCTGTACAGTAAAATGTAATGATTGTAACAGCTGAGACTCTGATCAGAATATCTACCGGCAGAGATTCCAATCGGTGTTCCTTTTGAGTCTCTTGAAAGGCAGAAGTGGCATAAATTTATTCATTCTCTTTCTCACTGTGTGCCCACAGCGAGTGCCCCTCATTCACTCGACATTCACTGACAAGGTGGACTAACAGTACCATTTACAGAAGGACAAAAACAGCGGTAAGTCCACACAATATATTTGCCGTTTCTGTTGATCTGGGGAACATGTAGTTCATGTGTTATTGTACTGTAACATCGTTCTTGATGAATGAACATACATATGACTTTCAACCTTTGTTTAGTTTGATGTGCGCATCATTGCATTCTGTAAAATGTATTGACTCACATGCTTTGCTATATTTACATTTACTTCTAAAAACATGACCCTAAATCTTGTTAATTTAAGAGCAAAGCTAGGGAAAGTTGGCATAGATTCATTTATGTTCTGTTTTCTCTTGCTGACCACAGGTAAACTTCGCCAAGTCCATCCTGAGATGCAGACTACAGCAGGAATTCACGACGCCAAGTTGTGGAAGGATCGGGGTGTGCATGCGAGTTTTTCACGCAAGAAAAATAAGCATTGAATGCAGCAGCATCGTAGCCTGGGTGCCATCCGAATTTGTAACGGCTACGGGCAAATTCGGATGGCACCCAGGCTAGCAGCACCGTGAAAGCAAAAAAAATCCAAGAATAAAAAAAAGCAATACTGACGCAAACACCCACACAAATGAATAAAATCCCTTACACAAAACATCACTATCATCACATAGTTAAGACAAAGGCTAGACCTGTTCCCCCTGTCCAATTACATACTTTGTAATGAAGCTGAAATAAATAAATAAAATAAATATCGTAGAAACACTGTACAGACTACTGCATGTCTCATGCCACAAGCCTATGTGTAAAGGCTGGTCCCACTACTTTCCAAGCAGAGGTTGGTGGGGATGATCGTTAGCGGGGGTAACGATCTTCCCCTCCAACCTCTGCTTGGAGAATAAGTCCCACAAGGTATAGCCAAAAAGCAATTCCCTAGGGAATGCATTGGCGGAATTCTTAGAATATTTTCAACTCAATCGCAGTACTATACCAACGGCTCCGCCCCTGAGGCGTCGCCAAAAATGTAACGATCTTCCCCTATCAACCTCTGCTTGGAGAGTTGTGATTTGAGAAAGGAAGAAGGAGAGAAAGAAAGCCAAAAGAGATACTGGGAGAAAGATGTTCTCTTATAACGTACCATCTCAAGACGCATGTTATTCTTTCTATAGTGTTCTTCCGCAGAAGTCACCCTAACTTGAACATTTTATACTTGAATCTATTTTCGCGCTTATACATTTAATAGTCTCCACCAGCGGCAGGCAAGCTGGATCCTCTATGGCCGGCTAACTCCTCTGGCAAATGTTGTTCCCCTTATAGTGGGGCAGATAACTGAAATAATCTTTCAAATTGTGATACAAGCACCAAACTTGGTACAAATACCCATGGTCATGAGACATATATATATAGACAGGGTATAGAAGACTTGCCAGTTTCCACTGGCCATGTTTCCTAAAACAGAGACCAAAGTGAGAATGCAAGAAGGATATACAGATTGAAAGAAAAGACTGTGCCCCAGCTTTACCCAACTCCAGTGTGGTTTGAAAAGGCAGCAGTGACCTAGATATGTCAATTAGGTCATCATTTGCATAATCGGTATCTGTTGATGTTCCGCCTGCCACAAGGTAAATACATTACATGTATAAAAGAACTATTATATAAAACACTGTAATTATAGAATTTCCTCCTGAATTATGCAAATAACGTCCTCATTTGCATAATTTGCATTTAATTATTAACAACATTTTCAGCTACCTACACACCAAAAATGATGAAAATACGTTGTTCCTATCTGGACTTATTGGCTTTAGGGGATTTCGCCAGAAAGTGCCCTGCAGTTCCAGAACAAGCTGTTAGGGGGACCAAACCCACACCACTTATTCCTGACAGGAAAGGCTATCTGTCACCAAGAAGTCAAGACCATAGCATGTTCAGGACAAAAGATACAAAAACCGGAAGTTAGTGATGTTGCAGCAAGGATGACCCCATTAGATGTTTCAACCCTTCCTCTTCTCTGCATGTTCGTAGCTGAATTAGATTTTCTGATCCTGGTTGGTTTTACATGTATATAGCTAGACCAGGTAATTGCCACTCAGGTTGTGGTTAAGAGTCAATTTCCTCTGACGTACGAACGTTGATGAAGTTATTGACAGCCGCTTGTTTCTGTTTTTCTCCCATCTATAGTCCATGGGCCAGAGGAGATATCGGTACCACCTGAGGTGGCAAATTTTCATCATGGTTTTTGAAAAGTAGGGTGTCTGTGGAATATTTTTTTGATATGATAGCCGTTGCACATCGGTAGCTTTGACCTTGCTATCTGACCTTGAACTTTGACCTCATACGGACCGCGTCCTTTTGCACTTATAATGCAAAGGGGAGTGGTAAATAATCAAATATAGATATTTTTCAATGTAACTTCATGGACTGATAAAACAGGAACCAAGGATTACAAAAATGTTAATTTTGTTTCGATATGTCAATTCTACAAGAAGTTATGAGCCTTTAGAATTCGATTTTTTTGGTACATGTATGACCCGGCAGAATTGTGTTAGTGGACGTTAGATCTTACTACTTTGATTCTAGTGTTTATGAACATCAGTGTTGAGCCAGGAAAGACTTGTTCACAGATACAGGTGATTATGATGTTGTTGGTTACTTTTAAACTCTTCCTGGTAGTTAGGATAAGATATAATGTGATATGAATCTTTATTGCATGTTCTTGCCCAGATCGGCTAATTGCACAAGAGGACATGCAGTATGCAAAACATGAGTATTGCATACTGGGACGCTATATTCTAATGCTAATTGCTAGGAATTTATACATTATAACAATACTATATACTACCTATCATCTACTGTTAGTTGCCCTTTCTTCTCTCTTTTTGAAACATTTGGAAACATAATTACATAGTTTGTCTGCTACACATTCGTTCTTGCATGACATCAAGTGTTTAACCCTCAACAGAACACCTTCTCTTCTTCACAAGTTCCGAAGAGAATCCCACTTTCTGTCTATGCACAGATAACACAACAAGGTATAGGGTAGTGCGCACCGACACGAATACCTTCCCGGACTGATTAATCTGTACACCTTGGGTCCGCGCGGACCCCAGAACAGTTTTTTGCTAATTTTTAGAAATTATCAACATGCTACCAGCTCAATTGTTTTGCAAACTGATGTGGGAACCTCTGTGTCCACATTACATACAAAAATCATACATTTTGAACTTTTTCTATTTTTTGGTGAAGAAAAGAAGACAAGCAGAAATACCCGATTTTTAAACCCATTTCAGACTGAAGGGGCTTTTGAGGCCTAACTTTGATCTCAGATAGCGGCTAAACGGCTTGCGCTAGAAGTATCAAATTTGGAGACCTTTCCTAATATGTCTCTGGAAAAAGTTCATATTAGTTTAATACTAGTAAGTTGATGTTTTTTGTGTTGCCATGGCAACGGGTTTCTAGCAGGCAGTTTTTTTGAAAATAGAAGTAATTTTGGTTTAAACATAAAAATTTTCTGAGTTTTATATTAAATTACACTTCTTTTCCAACATATATAACATCTTACATAATTAAATATAATTTAATCATTTGATATGCATAGAATATGCTAATTTGATGAAGTCATTGGTCAAAATCCAATATGGCGGACTATATTGTTAGCTCTGACGTCATATGACGTCATAATTACACCAAAGTTATTAAAGTTTAATTCTATTACTACACCATTCTCTGAAAACTTGGTAGACATACGATGAGTGCATAAAAACATATAAAAACGGAAATAAGGTAATGTATAAGAACGCCAGTGTATCCATTATGATCGAAAGCCGGCTGGGGTCCGCGCGGACCCCAAAAGAAAATCAGATATAATTTTTTCTTAAATGGTAGAAACGGAGTTTTCTGCACTGTATTAAGAGACAACTTTGTGGGTGACAATTACCTAACATTTCAGAAAAAAATCTTTAGAAACAAAAAAGATATTACAGAACATATAGTGCTGGGGTCCGCGCGGACCCCAGGTGTACTGTTAAGGGTTAAAGGACCTAAAATTTCCTTTCCTTCAAATGTTGGTGTCCTCACAATCACTTGTCATGTTGACTGGGGGTGCGGCCTTCCGGGTCTCCTGTGGAGAGGTAAATTGAATCAATCAATTAATAACTGTAAGTCTGTACCGTCCCCCGTCCCGGTCGATCGTGATGGTTGTTGAGCTTTGTTGGATATCGCCTATTCATCCCTATGATTTATTCTGCTTACTAATTATGGGTTCACCACACCACGAAGTGGTGTGGTGAAACCATATTGCTTTTTCTGATGTTTCTTCTCCTTCTTCTCCTTCTCCTGCCATTTTTCAAATGGATTCAGCTTCTTCATTTTAGGGCCTAAGGTCCTGAAATTTGGTATGGAGGTACAGTGGGCAAATACCCCTAGGCGTTTTTTAAATTATTGTGATACAGGCTTTTAGAATGGTTTTATTTGAGTTTTTGGCTGTGTTATAGCAAATGTATTACTGTGTTAGTTTGCCTTGTTTACCACGTTTGGGCATGAGTCATCACAATGGAATGCAGGGCATCAACCAATAGGCATGCAGCTTTCCTCTATACTTCTTGCTGATTGGCTGTTGGGATTTAACTTGATTAACACCTGCACAGAAGCATTTCCATACTGACAGTATGTCTGTATTCAAGTGTTTTGGTAGGTATTTCAAGCTTTCCTGCTCCAGCATTGGAATGCCGGGCATGGTACGTTTTTTTTTATTTTGAAAATCAACAGTTTGCATTATGCAATTAAAAATCCTAACCAATAAAGTAGGGAATAGCTATCCAACTGTTGTTTTAGTTGTATTTTACTTCATATTATAGTTATATCAATGTAAATCATTGTTTTCCCTTGTGTTTCTCATTCTTTCCCTGCCATGTGGTAAAATGTGGTGAACCCATCGCTGTATTTGCTCCAAAGCAAATATTGGCCTTTCTAGTTATATCAGGCCTTTTAGGTCCGGAGGTAGACCACTATTTTCTTTCTTTTTTTTTAACGGCATTTGAAAAAATACTCCTCCGGTACTAATAGTGAGTGAGTGACTGGTACCATTAGTCAATTATCTCAGAATATCTCTAATATCCAAAAACGCTTGAGCTACAATTTACTGAAATGCAAATATTTCTTCCCTTGCTTGTGTCCCTATGATGTCATGTGAAACCTTCCATACACTCACCTTGGATTGGCGCTTATCCCAAAGCACCTCAACCCCCATGATGCACAGCGCCAATATGGCGGCGACCAGGAGCGCGACGAAGAGCGGCAGCACGTCTGGGACGCCCAGCGTGTAATACTGAAAAGCCGGCTGTTTAGACGCGGGAGGGTTGTCGGGAGGGTACCGGTTGGCGGGACACTGCCCTTCCAGAGCTCCGGTCCATTTCTGATACAACTCGTGGAGGGTGCCGTCCTCCTTCAGCCGCAAGATGGCGTCGTTCAGCTGCCCTTGCAGCGGAGAACCCTTCTGCACCCCGATACCAACAGCTCGCCTTCCCATCAAGCCTTGCTCGTCGTGAGTGTACATCAGATCGCAGGGTTTCTGGTTGCTATGGAAACGGGCGGTGGTGGACTGGCAGATGAGAGCGGTGCCGCCAAGACGCACCTGTTTCAGTCCTTCCATCACGCTGGTCACCTTAACGGCCCTGTCGTAGATACGTCGGTAGGAGGCGACTTGGGAGTCTTTGAAGAAAATCTCGCCAGGCGATCCAGAAATGAGAGCAGGACGGAACCCGTCTGCTGCCGCCAGATCGTTGAACGACTTGACGGGGGGCATGGAAAAACTGACCGGGCTGGCGAGGAAGTACACTGCGATGGCGCCAGTGACCAGGATGAGCGTCCAGACGATGAAGCCGAACCAGAAGACGAAGAGAAAGCGTCCGGACACGGATCGGGGCGAGTAGTCCACCCCCTGCCAGCTCATCGCGCTGTAGCAGATCCACAGGCTGTGCCCGAAGGTAGACAGTCGGCTCGCCTCGCCGACCTCTGCCGAGTACGCCCGATTCTCGTACGGACTGAGCCGAATGATGACGAACATGACGATGCCGACCAGGAGAAACGACATGGCGACTATAAACCATACTTCACTGGACATGATGCCGTATGTAGAATGCCACCAGCGCGCGTGATTTATCTGAAAATAACAAACAAAGCATCAAGAAAAGGCAAATGTAGGAGTCAATAAACCAGTACCATTTAGAACATACAACATCTGATCTGCCATGTTGCGGACCCCATGGCGTTATGGCTACTACTTTTAACCAAAATTAGGTAGATATGGCGGTCATCACTGTCTTTGGATAATCTTTAGATACTGGGATGTCTGTCATAATTCACAGAAATGTCAGCGACACCAGAGTCACCGCGTTTACTGGTTGGCTGTGATACTATCAACCTTAAGGACCACTCTCCACATAGCGACGATGCGACATTTTGTACATGAATATGAATATGCCTAGTGTAATAGCATAAGACTATACCTATTGTCCTAACAAACCGTGCCAGTACAATAAATTGATATCTACCTCCATGAAAAAATTGAGTTGTAGTTTTTCGTATGTCCATGTTTCCGTAGATTTTTGGGTAAGTATAACTTATAAGAATGCCTGAATGGATTGGAATAATATTTGATATGTAGGTAGCTCTCGGGAAGGCGAAGGTCAAGTTCAGTTAGACACCTCACGGTGGCTGTCCTTGGTACTGCAGCATAACTTTTGTCTTAATAGGTTTGATATCAGGAAAAAGTGGTATAGCTTTGCCCCTAGCAACCTGTTCCAAAACTGCGGAGGCGTTTTAATTTGAAAGAATAGTATGTACAATAAAATCAATAAATGACATGAGCCCCCTACCTCAGGTTTTTTCACCAGTATCTCCAGATGTTCCTCCAGGAGCGGTTTGCTGAAGTCGACGTATTTCTCTCTCTCCATTGTGATGAACAGTCCCATGGCCATGTCAATTTCCTGGAATGAAATGACGAAGTTTAAAAACTCAAAAACTCTACAAGGAAACGCGGAGACGCCATCTACCACTTCTTGAATTGCTTTTGTTTTCCTTGTTTTCTTATGCTACGTTTATTTAATTTTGTGTTAATATTGCTTTCTTATGTTTATCCTTTGCTCTTATGCATAATAACTTATGATTTGACTAATGGAAATCGTTTTTGTTCAATTTGACATGTTTTTGATAGTCTTACTTTATTGTTTAGTCAATTACATAGTTAGATAGTTCGTCGTGTTAACTCTATATTATTTTGTATCTATTTTGATTTAATTTGTTTCGTTGTCACTTATTTACAATACACGTGTGTAAAAAGAGGTCATAAGAATTGGATTTTAGGAGAACCCACTCGATAAACCCTTAGGTTTCTTGGGTTCTCCCGCACATTTGGTTGTACATATTCATTACATACTGTTTTTATTTTATGTGCAAAATGAAATAAACAAAATAATAATAAACAATAAACAATTTCCGTCTCGTAAATGGTCGTCGCCGTCGCCATTTCGCTGACTGAACGATACCATACCCAAGCGTAGCATACCATTTTTTTTAGGTAAAAAAGGTACTTTTAACAAGTAAAATCTGAGATTTTATACCTCCGGGATTTTTATTGTATATTTTTCCATGTTGTTTGTCATGTATAGTTGATGGTGTTGAATTTTATGTGTTAGATTTAGCGTTCCTGGTTGTGTTAATACAGGTCAACTGCATCTGCAGCCCATACCATGTACTCACGGTAAAAATGCATGTCGAGAACGTCTGAGACAGTATACCACGGTATTTGTCGTAATATACGCCGAAAACATCCAAGATTGTGCAAGAGGGCGTTGACCCCTGACCCATTGGCCCACCCGGAAGTTGGCTGCCAGCCCGGCAACCCGCGCGACCATTTTCACACTCTAAGGGGTGTCCGAGACACGAAATACAACATAATCTTACGCCCCAAAACACATATACAATAAAACCAAAACTAAATCTGCACCATCTACAGCCCATTAACAGAAGATACACCGAGCCCCGTCTACCCCAACGCGACATACAACTGCGATAATATTTCTTCCCTCGATACCTGACACCCCCTCTTACCGTGTGGACGACACCTACGACACTTTATACACGCCGAAAATCGAAAGACAAAACCACTTTCACACACAAGGGGTGTCCATACGCTGTCACAACGCATCATTTTTACGCACTAAAACACACATACTAAAAAACCAAAACAACGTGAACCATCTACAGCCCAAAAGCAAAACGTATACCAAGTCCCAGACATATCCGTCCACCCAAACGCAAGGAACGGCTGCGAACGTAAAAGGCATCTTCCCCCACAAAACCTCCGCGCACGGGATACATCCCTACCCGGAGGTAAAAAGCAACAACATTTGAATTTCAGATGTAAGAAAGAATCATGAAAAATAGTTAAGGTATTAGTGAACCAAAATAAAAGCTTAAAGCACATGCTCAGATTCGAAGCCGGATCCAAAAGCGCAGCTCTAGAATCCTAATCTATACCCTAATCCTCTAAGCCACGAAACATCACGCGCTAATACATTTCAAGACAACCGTTCTGGGATATGGCATTGACAGCTTCAAAATAAAGCTTATGCTTAGGTCACATTTCCAAACTGGTCTGTTTGTATGAACGAAAAATTACCACTTTATATCAAGAATTTTCAAAAATAGTGCCCATGATTATGATAAAAAAAACTTTTCCGTGTTTTGTTATATTTCATATTGTACTTTTCGTTCCCAAAAGCTGCCCGGCCGGGCCCCGTGTGTGAATTGTGACCTCAGCATTATGCGGCGACCGTTTACGAGACGGACATTAGCGGAGTCGCGTACTAGTATTACGCCACTGGCTTTCCGAGTGGGTCGGCTGCAGTTCAGTTGAAGGCGATGACATAGTGTACATCACAAGCAAATACGCTGACAGATTTTTTTTTTGTATCTATAGATATTTTGTAGTTTGTATCTTCGATTTTCACATTTGTGAATTGCTCTTTACTATTATAGTTTTTATCGCGTCTTTGGGTCCGTAACTATAGATCTAGAAATCTCCATAGGGCAAAAACTGTAGCCTGGTGCCATCCTATTTGTATGCCGGGCCTTCCATACTCGCTCCTATTTGTATGACCCGGAATATACAAATAGGCTGGTACCAAGGCTGAGGCCCTGGAGCCGAGGAGCTGACTTGTGTGAAAGCCCTGGAGATAGTCTGACACCCAGGCTACAAAAAACTGTGCTCTGTTGTTACCTTATTGATGAGCTGACTCATCATCCCATTCCAGGCGCCGTCAACCTTCATCCCGTACCGCCCGTCATCTGGGGACTGGACCGATCGAGGAGAAAAAAATTAAGGCATTTATTGTATATTTTGCCACACAGCTGCGCTAATAAATAAGCACAAGTCATATGTTATGTTCATGCGTATATTAGACCTATAGAAATTAATTTTCTTTACTTTAGTACATTCAGCCTCCTCTAACTTCTAGGTAACGCTGAGGTCACATTTCCAAACCGGGGCCCGGCCGGGCTGTTTCGATTAACGAAAAATCAACAATTTATATCAAGAACATACGCAAATAGTTCCAATCATTATTTTTTTCAACCTTTTTGTACTTTGTTGTCTTTCATATCGTACTTATCGTTCCATAAGACTGCTCGGCCGGGCCCTGGTTTGGAAATGTGACCTCAGCTTAAGTGTATTACAATAATATAATATGATAAGTACATTTTCAAGTATCTTGCCTAGTTCATACTCATGCAGATAGTAATTTCAGCTAGGGTTATCGTAGGTCGGGTTATGGTCTTTACTGTATATTTATGTTGGGAGTGGCGGAATATACTTTCTATACTTTCTACAAAATTAAACAAGAATATTTTTATCAGTTCCACATGTAGTAAAGCTTGTATATTGTGAATTCTGTACCTTAACGCGGAAGTTGAGCCCGGTAATTTTGGAGAGTTCATCAAGAACGTCTTGGTCGAACCCTTCATAGGAGCCGTCTTCGTTCTTCTTCAGGTAAACATCAGACTAAAGACATGGGATTTAGTCACTCGACCGGCCTTTGGCCATACATATCGCATGTAAGTCTTGAAAATAGCATCTTTAACAGCTTCTACAACTGGGCTTTTTTATAATGAGTTTTTCCCCTCTTAGGGTATATGACTCCTGTCTGTACCTAGGTTCATGTATCGGCTCAGCATCTGTGTACGGCCTAGCTAGGTACAAATAGAAGTGATATACCGAAAAAAGCACAGTATTGAAGTCCCCAGAAAAACCTAGTCGCACAGCCTGTTAAGTATGTACATATTTATATGGCAGACTAACACCCCTGGACAGTTATATACCTTTTTAGGCCGATTGCCACTATTTATTAACCCTGCAAAGGAGTCCGGTAGAGACTATTTGAAAGAGGCTAGAAAAACGACATTTGCTACCCCCTCCCACTATTATAAAGTTGAAATTTCGTCAAACTCCAAAGAGTGAATGCCAACATCTCCATTAATATTCAAGCAAAAGGTTACATATTTTTGACACACAAGAGATCTCCCCTGCAGTGCACCAGAACTGTGCTTACTGCACTAGAGATCTTTCATGTTTTCTCAAGTGGCGGATATAAATTATTATTATGTTAATGTACATGGTAGCGCTAACTGAATTAGTGAGAGGAAATCAAAACCTCACCTCTACAGCGCCAACAATAACCGTCTTGGAACCAACGGAGTCTGAAACAAAAGAGACGGAATTGAGGATTTATCAATATTAATTCAGTCTGGCGTTTTGCAATCTGTGAGTAAATAAGCCAAAAAAAGGCCATGTTTACAAGTACAAGTCTCAACATGTAAGGTTGATTCGTTTTTTCACCACGTGCACGTTTCGTTAATAGTTCCTTTGGCTATGACAGATATTGAACTAAGCGACGTTAGCCTTCCAAATACAGTACCCCAGGCTCAGAGCACCAGTATCCAGCTGAGAGACTGGCAATGGATAACAATGCTTGTGGTGAACCGTAACTGAATAAGTCCATGTCGATTTTATTATATGGATGACATCCTCTGGGAACCCCAAACTGATGCGAGCGTGCGAATAAAAAAAAATGGCAAAAAGATTTGCCTTAAACGTGGTCATGAAGATTGAACAAATGACATAAAGTATGTGGTATGACGAATAATTTACTCAAATTCTTTTCTTTACATTTTCGTCTTTTTTGTTTGATTTTGGCATCCTACGACATTGGTATCGTTTAACGATATTTTTGTTGCAACTTACGATTTACGGTATGGTTGAAAACTTTTTTTTTTGAAACGGCCGAAAATTCATGCGCGCGTGGATGTCATCCATATTACCAAATTAACATGGCCTAAGTGGCGACCATGGCTCTGAATGGTTCAGCCAGTATCGACGGAGCACAGCAGGTTCGCAACACGCCGAGCGACGCATCGCACATCATCATTACATAAACCATTTATATCTAACTCGAACTATAGTCGAAGTACGCCAAAAAGCAGTTACTCAAGCAACTGGATATGATTTTGAAAACGTCAGACGTTTCAGCTAGTATCCACTAGCTTTCGTCAGTGACTGAGAGACCAGAGGGGAAAACAGGTTTATAAGTCGAGTCGAAGTACTTAATGAACCGCCCCTAAACCACCTTGTTCAAGGTCGAGACGAACTACTTGCGGTCTGTATTCTGTATTACTCCGCATGGATCTAAAATAGTTCTGTCAAGAAATGAATCGGGTCCTATTATAAACTCAAACTTGTCTTTCAGGCAATCTTAAACTCTCTTCCAACAAGGAGCTTTTAATATTGATTTTTGACCTCCTTAATTCCATTACGTTTCTGACAAACATCTGAGATAGGAGCGCGCAATTGTTTACTGCTGAATGGAGTGGTTAGAGCGTGAGAGGTCAGATGTGTGCATAATGTAGGCTTTGTTGTGCTTAGTGCAGCGTTACGTTGAGGCCCGATGGGGCCTCTTGTGGGTTAGTCCCTACCTCAAGTTATACAAACGATAAACACTGCAATTTCAGGGCGGCAAAACTGAATTTTTCTTCTTTCTGTTCATTCTATATCAATGTTGTAAGTTAAATTAATTTAATCCTATCCTATAGCATACTTATATCTATCAGACAAAAACGTGATATCGATGTTACAGGTAAAACGGTTGCTTGTTTTGTATCCTAGGGTGATTCAAGTGCGGTACCCAAAAAAAAAGAAAGAGATGCCTCATGTAGTTTGATGTTTCAAATACCTGAAGCATGAAATGATGACGAAAATGGGCTAAGAAAAAACAGATAGATTTCCTCATCCAGAATATTCCTTGTTTTTCCTATCTAGCTGAAATTACATTGGATGCCGTTAAATGGATGGATTTTGGAGGAAATCCCTTTACGTAGTAATAAATAGAGTCTCAATCTCACGTTCTTCCAATAGCAAGAATAGAAAATTATTACATAAAACAATACTGTTTAATGAGATATGTTGACATATTAAGAAACGTATATAGCTCCTGTATATCAAAATGAGCCGACTACAATGATGTGTTACAAAACCCCAAACATCGTGGTTTGTATGCACCAGAGGACGTTTGGGTTCAGATTCCCCAAACCGTATATATAGTAGAGCAACCGTCTTGTCAAAGCTGAAGCACTAGCCTGTGGTGCGGCCTGCTAAAAACCAACTTGGTCCCGCTACACGAAGACCTACATGTACGCTGAGCTGAGTTGTTACGGTATGTAAGAAAGCAGTAGAGGGACTCTGGCTTCTAAAGAAGAAACGAACTTGGATAGACTTCCTGAATTAAAGTGTTCAGACAGTAAAATGCACAAAATAACCAAGACATGTAGTTTACCTGTTGGGTTGGCATCCTGTGCAGAAACAGAAGTGATCGCGAAGAGAGCCGACGCGACTAGGGGAAACACCGCCCAAGCCATGCCGCCTGACTGTGTAGAATCCAAACTCACGGTAAATTACTTTGTATGCGCCTCACTCACGGGACCACTACGGGGGCGCGAACTCTCAAAAAAAAATGGGGACGAAAATAAAGGCCAAACTTTCGTTCCCATTTGTCCACATGACAGGACAATACCGAGAACTAGTTCTGGGAACACATGCCTTCGCCAAATAAAAGCGTTCATTATAAAACGCCTTCCTATACCACCAACAACTGTAGGTTACTTTGTATGCGTCTCACTCGTGGGCGGCTGGAATAGGGGCGCGAACTCTAAAAAATAAGGCAACAGCAAGTAATTTTATGTACCCTCTTGTGCAGGCTCCGGGGCGGGTGGGAATTTTGATACAGCGTTTTTAAGAGTTTTTAACGCGTCATTTTAATAGCCGGCCATCCTACAACCAGCCGCCGGGAGAAGGTTCCATTCCGCCCACGAAACCTGCTTCCATTCGGCAAGAAAAAAGAAAAAAGTGATTAGAAAGTCTTTCAAAGGTACCATTAACATGCCCGGCTATTAAAACAACGCTGTATTAAAATTCCCACCCGCCCCGGCGAGCCTGCACAGGAGGCTAAATTTTATAGATGACATCAGCGCGCGAATTAATTTTGCCTGATTTGAAACAATAAATGAAAACTTTAGTTATTATCTAAACTAACATTAGAACACTGGGACTTTCCTCACTGGTACATAAACGTCTCCTATTAAGAATTGGGTGCAATTAGGAATGTAGCTTCACATACACTATAGTAAATATGCCATATTGTATTACTTACCTTGTCTTCAGGACTGGGTAGAACAACAGGCCTTTCTTGTTTCCCTTCTCCGGTTTGCTTAAAGGCCTGACAACTATAATTTTTAAGCGACATCTGGTGAGTTCATCTGGTACTGCTGCAGCTGGACAGCATAGAGATATGGTCGAATGTGTTCTCATTTGTGTTACCGAGACTCGTTTTATAATCCCTCCGCCTGAAAATTTGTTGTTTTTCTCTTTTGAGGAAAAACGACTAGTATATAGGATCCTTCGTTGGAAACGGTTGACGGCAAATTGTAAGTAATGTGTCTAACTTTCTATCTTTCTACCTATTTATCTATCACTCTTTACTCCATGATGCATACAACACTGTATTTAAAGGTGATCATGACTGGATCAATCATGTAAAATATATTCTATCTATCTATCTATATATATATATATATCCATCTATCTATCCATCTATCTATGTATCTATCGGCACCCGACGGTCTGCCATAAGCAAGTAAGCAAGTAAGCTATGTATCTATCTATCTATGTATCTACATGTATGTATGTATGTATCTATCTATCTATCTATATACCTATCTATCTATCTATCTATCTATCTATCTATCTATCTATCTATCCATCTATCCATCTATGTATCTACATGTATGTATGTATGTATGTATGTACCTACCTATCTATCTATCTATCTATCTATCTATCTATCTATCTATCTATCTATCTATCTATATCTTTGTGTATGTATCTGTACGTATATGTAATATACACGTAGTCATCATAATGTGCAATTTCAGGAATAAAGCTTTGCAGTCATTTTGGATTGTTGCGGCTGTTGTTTTGTTTTGTCTTGTCTTGGATCTACATAAAACCGTTATACTGTTTCACACCTTTATTCGACATCCGGTATTCAAAATGACGTGGGTTGATCTCAAAGAGATGACATAACAGGTACAATTTTAAACAGAAATTTTATTCCACCTCTTACAAAAACGTAACAAAGCAGTATTTAAACACCAAAAAAATGTGCTATTAGGTGCAGATGAGTAGGGTAGTGCTGCCATGATAACAATTGCTTCATCCAAACGCTCTACAAATTTGCAGTTAGGCCACAGCAAGTAATTTTTATGGATGACATCAGCGCGCGAATCAATTTTAGCCTAATTTGGGGAAGAAATTGTTGCCTTCTGACATGCCGAAAATGGGCAAAGATGTCTGTTGCCATGCCGAAAGGTGGATGGCAGATAACTAATGAAGAGAGGAGACAAGAAAAGGCTCTGATTTAATGTTCTGTTTCTTACTTTAATGCAGTGATGCTGGTTTTGTATATATTATGTGATGTTCCCACTGAGTCAAAACCATTTGTACAATGATTGAGTCCAAATTTTAAATTGTAGGAGCCCTGTTTTTTCGGCCGGTCTTATTTTCCCGCCCGCTCGCATTAGATTTGGAGTCTGCGGAGGATGTCATCCATAAAATTTACTTGCTGTGGCCTTAATTCTCATATTGACGTTACATCAGTTTTTCATCTAATCATACCTCCCTTCCCCAGTTCTAAGGTCGTCCCGAAGTAAAGTTGAATGTTTCAGTGTTTGAAGCATGTTTTTTACAATTTCAAAGTATTTCATTCAAATTAAATCTTCTACGGGTTGTCAACAGGAATGACCAAGAAAGATTTTTTAAGGGGGGGGGGGAGGCTCTTGCTACCAAAGGCGACAAATTTGATATGTTCTCCTTTCACTAGCATGAAAGCTCATCTGAGTTGGTAAAAAAACATGAAGAAAATTAACTGTTCTCCAACTCAAAAACGACAATGACTTAAATTTTCGACTGAATCGCTCAGTCTTCATCAGCTTTATGACCCAAGTTCTGTGGACGCGTGACTTTTAGCCTTTAAGATGCTCTTGATATAATTTTCCCTTCGAGGGAACATTATCTGAACCTCCACACCACAAATGAGTAAGGTTATTAAAATAAACGCTTTAATAAAAAAAAGTTGGCTCACATTTTAACCCCCAAAAGCTTTCTTGGTCAGTCCCACATAGAATAGTTCGACTAAGCACGTCGGCAGAACGTACTGCACCTGCGCGAAACCCGTAATGTATTGTACATAGTATTTTGGCAGAATGTCTCATATAAGGTTGTATTCGCTCATATAAGGTTAGCATTCCGACAGTAGTTTCCAAATTTTGTTTCAAACAGAAATTCTTCTGCAACAGGAAAAATTCTGATGCAACGTTGACCAAAAACCCAACGAAAAACGCGAAAATGCTGAGTTCTGCCGACGTGCTGTTCGACTACATTACAAAAAAAAAAATCAAGCCTTAGCCTATTTTGTTGAACAAAACAGAACGGAGAACAATGTATCTCATCATCTATAGCAATATATCTTGTCCTTATGAACCATTTGTCATTGCGAGCATATCTTGATATTTCTATGATAACTTTTACCATTAGAAAGCAAATATATTACAAAAAAATGTAGATCTCGTTAAAGGCATCCAATGTGACTTCAGAGCAGCAAAACTGGAAATATTCTGAATAAGGCAATATTTATATTGACACATACTGCTTCACATTAGCACATTTCAATCATTATTTCATACTTTGGGTCCTTAAAACTGGAGAAACAAGACACAAGACGAGTCCTTTATTTTATGGGAGGTACCCTAAAAATCAGCCTAGGGCCCCTCCCCTAATCATTTTCCATCAGAATTTTGTCACTTTTTGCTCGATGAGGGTCAATACACATTGGGATAGTGTAGTTTCAACTCAGTATGTAGATAAGTGACTAGAATATTGACTTTGAAAATTTGGATTTCCAAGCCCTAAAAACTGCACTGGATGCCTTTAAGATCTGCGTAAGCCTTAGCCTAGTTTGTTAAACAAAACAAAACAGAACTGAGAACAATGTATCTCACCGCCTATAACAATATATTTAGTCCTTATGAACCACTTGTCATTACGAGCATATCTTGATATTTCTATGATAACTTTTACCATTAGAAAGCAGGCCGATTTATAGTTAAGTACAATGGTAAACTTATAACGTGAATTTATGATATGATACTGTTTGTTCATCAGAAAAACCAAAATGCACAAAAAACATGGGAGAGTAAAGGAAAAATATTTGATATTCTTTATAATAATCGTCAAAAATATAATTTTCTTCACTTTCTCATGGGTGCTTTTTGGTGCAGTTTTTAATGATATGACACAAGCAGCATCATATCATAAATCAATAGTGTTTGCAGTAACGCACTGTAGTTTGATGAATTTCGAAGTTGGAATACCATAATCAAAGTGAATATTTTCATCAATGGTCCACCATTGTTAATCATACAATTTCAAATGATGCAGATTAGTCGCAAAATTCAGGCACTCTCATAGACTACTAGCCTTTTGACAATTCAAGAAAATTAAATTTACTGATTAAAATTGTGCTTAGTTGCTGCACTGTCAAATGCAAGATGACACATGCTTGTTGCTTCCAGTCAGCAATCTCTGGAATGTGTATTGCAAGGAATCCTGGGATGGTTTCAAATCCCTCTTGCTCCATGCCATAGGTAAGAATGAAATAGAAATATAAAGTTTTCTCTCATGTTTCTCCTCCTCCCTCAGCAATTTTGTTCATTAATATTGGATTCAGTTTCTTCATTTTTGGCAAATGACATAGAACGTGACAAGGATGTATGTAGGAAGGGCAAATAACCCAAGCCTTTATTCATTTTTGATACAGGATTTTGGAAGTGTTTATTTGTTTGTTTGTTTGCTTGTTGTGGCCATTTTCAGACAAACACCGTATATTTTGGACTGGAGCCTTGCTATTAAACTCAAATAGTCAGAAATTTTCTGTAGATGTGCATCAGATATATACCAACAGAAACGCACACTTTTGGCATACTTTCTTTAAAAATTGTATAATTTGGGACTTTTGGGCTGCATTCAAACCTAAATGAATAGTGTTTTGTACGTCATTAGTTAGTTTCTAGTTAGTTCCATATGTCCTGTGTCATGTTCAGTATAGTCTGCGCCAGGCGGACGGCGGTTTCCGCGTGCTGACGGGTGAACGCGTCGTGAGGAACTCTCGGTGCCGGGTGGAGGTTGGGGTAGCGGGCCCGCAGGTACACGTCATCACACCCGAGGTACGACCCGAGGGACGACAGGTCCATGGCGGCATCGCCGACACCGGTAAGTTCATCCCCGCAGCTGGTCTCCAGTGCCA